GTTCGCTGCATCAATTAACACGCACAGTATCGATGCTGAGCGCTTCTATTTCGAAATAATATTCCTCGTAATATCAGACGTTTCAAGGATAATTGATTGCCAAGTAACATTACGTAAGACACGGCGTAGATGCTACAAGTAATTTCCTATCTTGGAATTCCGTTCGTGTCGCGTTCAATTCCTATCCGCTTGCAGGACAAACTCGAAGGATGATTCTTCGGGATTCTCGTGTCCCGAGTTTCGTGTCGAACTATACCGATGCATCGGTAATGCGAATCACGGTTGAATATGCATCCGAATGGAATATGCAACGGGAATGTCGCTACGAGCGTATAAATCAGTTAGCTCGGATGGATTTGCGCGCGACCGAATTCACGCGTACAATGCTGGCACGAATTTTTGCCCAGTACATTATTTACGATATGGTGGTAGGATATCCACGCGGGTAACTGCCACTCTATTTCATCAACGTGACACTCTTCGTATTTTCGAAAATAAAACCAACGGAATAAAACCTATCCTGCTATACTCCCACTCGAACGAAACACCAGGAAGATTCAGCGAACCATTTCACGATTGAAACCAGGTTCAGCGAAAGTGAACGTTTTATTTCTCATAACACTACGTTATACGCGTTCAGAGATACGAAAAATGGGAATCTCTCGAGAACCGGCAACCAAAACTTCCGCTTTGTATTCTGTGCACTCCGCCCTTATATTTCAACCCTGTTGTGTATCACGGCAGAGAAACGTTATTTAGACTTATTTATTTACCCTTTACGTATTCAACTCAGAAAGAAAATTTAGCCAAATCCTAGACAAAGTGACGAAACACTCGAACCTTCGAGAACGTCTTGGAAGAACTGACAGGGTATCAACTGTGAATTGGCGGTCACGATCGTTTCCGTCTCGAACGATAAACGCAGAAAGGATGAATGAAAGCGTAACATTCACTTACCCGTCGCATGACACGCAGAGAGAACGATGACGTCTTCATCTTGGTGGTAATCCTGGCAGGCGTGTGCGGGATACGTGTGAACGCTGGCGTTAGCTATGGCGATGCTCGTCGTCGGTTTCCTCGGCGACGTGAGATCCAGGTATGAATCCTGCCTCTGAGTTACGCAGGGCACCAAGGACGCAGAGAGAGTTCCGTTGTAGAGTGGGGGAGACACGGAGGAGGCTCGTCCGAAGAGCCGTCAGGGGTGGCTCGAGGCCACAACTACAGGTGGTCGCGCGTTGTTGCTGGACCTTCCCGCCGATGTTTCGTTACTC